CTCCTCCTCTCCCCCCCCCCACTCTCTTTTCATTCCTCCCTTCCGCCAGTAACAGACACATTTAAGTAATGAGATAGCTGCAATTCAAGTTTCTGAACTTGCCGCGAATCGCGACTAATCTTCCTTCTCCCTCTCTCTCTTTCTCTGTCTCCTTAATATTTTCCCCTTACTCTCTCTGTTTTTTTTTTTTAAATAAACCTCTTTACCTCTTTTTTTCCATTCTGAGCTTTAATCATCCTTGGTTCGCGAAATGTGCCGATAATCCGCGACACACGCGCCAGACGAGGATCGGAGGCTAGGAGCGAGCGAGATAAAAAAGAAGCGTATAGAAGCTTACGGAGCAAGGGCAAGAGTAAAATTGCGAAAGGCAGGAACGACGAAAAATGTTATCATAAATCGCTGTCGCTGCTCTGAGGCATTACAATTGTTGATTTCGAAATTAGTTTCGCGAATGATGAAGAAGCGGAATTCGAATTGGTCTCCCGGGACAGATATGAATTAATAAAAGCTACACTCGTATCCCGCGGGTCTCATCCATGCGATCCTCCCCCTTTTGCGCGGGTACGAGGAGCTCAAGCGAAACTGGAACAGCGGAATCTCCAGCATCCCCTTGTATCCCCCTTCCATCCCCCCTATCGCCGAAGGCACGAAAACTCCCTGGACGAGTGAGATTTTTAACGACAACTTTGAATTTTAAATTATTTCCTCCCTTTTGCCTTCCCCCCCCTCCTCACTCTCATCATCCCTTGCTGGACCGCTTCTCCCTCTCTCTTTCTCGCTTCGTAATTTCTTTGAGGGAAAAGTGGAGGCAGGAAAAAAAAAAGCGAAACAGTCTAAAAATTTAGTCTTTCTCAAAGCTCTCGTCTTGGGGGATTAAAAGAAAAGAAGGGATAAAATATCCTGAAGGATTTGAAGGACTTTGCCCGAAGGAGATCCGGACCTGTACGCGAATCCAAGCGGGTGCTTACAGTCGACATTGCAACATCGAGTGCAACAGAGCTACGACACAACGAGTGCAACGCGAACAACAAGACGTCTCTGCACACATGTGATATACGCAGACTGAAAGTTTATACGGTTATTGGATAAACGATTATAAGTAAATATATATAGATGTATATAGACAATAACACGAAAGAGTTAGCCCATCAAGTATCGATACTGATTAGAAGAAAATCATTGTACACGCATTGAGATATATAGAACGTAGTAAAAGAAAAATGTATTGTATGTGCAAACGTATGAGAATATCGAGACAATTCGAAACAACGATTATTCAATTGGAAGCGACAACGAGTAAAAATGTTGCATCATGCAAAGATGCCTCTTATGCTTCTTACGTTTGTTTACTGCCTTCGCACGTGGTACAGTAGCGAAAATTAATGACTTGTCTAATCTTTTGACAGTTTTACGACACAGCGTGGTATACCTGTATATAGCTATGACGATACAGAGCTACTGTCCATGTGCAGGTATATAAGGAGCGCTCGAAATTTGTGTTTTCAGGTAAAAATGAGTTAAAGGGTGGTAAAAAAGAAAAAGACGTAGAAAAAGGGAATTGGAGAAATACAAGAGAAAGTGAAAGTTGACGAGAATGTGAGAAACGAAAGAGAAGGAATTCAGGACGACGGATATGGACCGAGAGGTAAAATGCTGTCGCGGTAAACTTTCCATTATCCTGCGATGTAACAACGGGTCGCCGACGGGCGTAGCGGCAAAGTAATTAAAACTTTCGTTTTATTTGCATTATCTCATTGTAAGGCATCGTATATTCTAATAATGGCGAGTTGTTAATTGCAATTAGGCGCTCGCCCCTACTCCCCCTCCCTTCTTCCATTCGGAATCCCAGAGCTTCGCCTACAAGCCACCCCTTATACAGGGAACTCCGCTCGAGCCTCGACGTAGGTATACCTAGTCGCCCCTTTGCGTCTTTCCAGTGCTCCACGTTGTCCTTTCGTATTGGCCCCCAGGCACTTTTAATTACTCACTGTTTTGTAAGCATCGAGTCCACTCCCCAATTAATTACGCGATTTAAAATTAGTCAAAATCGCCCAGTACATTCTCTCTTTCGCTATAATATATCTATATAGGCTACGAACTTGATATATATATATATATATATATATATATATATATATATATATATATATATATATATATATATACAATATATATA